CCAAAAATCTCAGTATATTGAACTAAAAGATACAGAATTCTTTCATTACTGAAACCATAATTTCTAAACAGCTCTAGGCTGTAATCCTGCAGCAATATCAACACTCATCAACCAGTATGATCTCTTCAAAAGTTTGAAGAATTTTTTGTCATCACCCACAATTGATTTCACATAACTTATCATGGGTATAATCCGATTGGTAAAACCCCTTCTTAAAATTGAAGAATTTGAAGCAACAATATCAGCTAAATCAGAACCAGAAATACCAAATTCTTCTAAAGCTTTAAATTTGGGAATTAGGGTCCTATCAACACTACATTTCAACAAAATTGGCAAAGAAAATATAAGTCTTTTCATCTGGGTATTGCTAAATCCTCGTTGTTTCAAGTAATCGACAACTAAATAAGGGTTTTGAGTGGATTTAATGCGATTTGATTTACTGACCTTACTCCAGGAAATAGCTGCTTCTTCCCTTGAAAAACCCAGAGATTCAACCATGAAATCCACCATAGAAGAGGGAGAATTTTCAGTTGCAGAAGATGTTGAGTGTAGAAACAAGCGATTGAGGTGGAGAGAGAGATGGGTCCGGAATTGGACGTCATTAGAGCACAATTTCAGCATTTGCGATTCAATTCAATGCTTTTTTTTTTACACAGAACTGAGAACGTGCCGCAGAAATTCAAATGGCTAAATTGTTCTAGGCATGAGATGAAGTGATGAACCGCTTGTTCTAGGAATGACTAAGTAGAGGTGTCAAACCCGAACCGACCCGAAAAAAATTATCCGTTTCGAACTGTAACCGATCCAAGAAATTCAAGACCCAAACCCGATCTGTAGCAGAACTGAACTGAACCAGAATCCGAACTTGACCCGATGTAAACTTAACCCGGCACCAATTTGATCCGACTTGAACTCAACCCGAATCCGATTTGACCCGACCTGAACTCAAACCGAACTGATTTGACCCGACCCGAGCTCAACCCGATCCAAAATTGACCCGACAAATAACCGATCAGATCTGATCTGTTTTGACCCGAACTGATATTAACCCGACCCGATTTTAACTCGATTTGATTTTTACCCAATCCGAATTTAACCCGACCATAATTAATTATTGACCTTTTTATTCAAGTTCTTATACTATATATTTACTAATTATTAATAAGTTAACTTTTTTACTACAAAGAAATAGTCTGGAGTCTTAAGTTTACTACAAACCCATCACGTGAGACAATCTGACCAAAAGTAGGTGGGGTCCACAGAAAGAGCTCTCTCTTCCTATCTCTCTCCTTTTTTCTCTCTCTACTACAATTGAACGAGTAACTCCGATCATGATAGGTATCTTAGAGAGCGGTATTTATAAGTAAATTCTCTTAAGCATGGAAGGAATGAGGGTATCAGAGGATGATGTAGGTGAATACAAGAGGTGTATGGAATTTTCTACACACAAGCTCTTCAAATTGCCTACATAAATCTGGAATCTTCGTGATTTTCAATATAGTAAAGTATTCTGGAAACTTTGAAAAACCTTGATATATAATGAGTTAGGCTAAGCTATGCTATGGTCTTAGGATCTTTTACCAAAATGACTAATTTGACAAAAGTATTTCCCAAAACGGCTATTATAAAATTTAATTTTCAAACTAGCTAATTCATTAATTTGGAAGGGATTAATTTATCTATTTATTTTTTTTTTCTTTGAACCGATTTCCCGATTTGATTCACTTTATTGATTTTTTATTAATCTGGTTTTAATAAAACCAAAAAAAAATAAAAAATAAATAAATTATTAGCTATATATTTACTCCGTAGCTTATTACTACATATTTTAGAGGTATATGCATAATTTTATTTTTATTTTTTTCAAATTATGCATATACCCCTAAAAAATTATGCACAATTATAAATACACTATTAGCTTGTATTTGCAGCTTGTCTAGGTGCCTTAATGGCTTAATGCCATATCTTCAAATTTAAAAAAAAAAAAGCTTTGATATTCGCTGTTTCTAGAGCAAATAAAATGATTCTATGTTTAATAGTTGTATTAACTCTAGTTGTTTATATTATAGACTTGATTGTTTCCACTTGCTTTCTAAATTTTAGACTTTTATCTTATTGTAATGCAACTTTTAAAACTGGAAGTTTGGATCAATATTTTGAGTGATTGTTTTTTTTGTGTAACTTTTTTAAAAATTGAGAACGGTTGCAAATATACCATATTGAATTTTATTGTTTAATGGGATATTTTAAACTATGGCATTAGAATTTCCCAAAGAAAAACAAAAAATCAAAATTATAAAAAAAAAACTAATTTTTTAAAAATAAAACCAGAAAAAAAAAATTAAAAAAACCTATAAAGTGAACCAAACCAATTCAAAGAAATATAAGAAATAGATAAATTCCTCCAAGTTAATAAATTAGCTAGTTTGAGAATTAATATTTATAATTAGCCGTTTTCCATTTTGGTAAAATATTCGAAAGATCACTAATCATCACACAGTTTTGACAGTACCTACTACACTTACTTCCTTGTTCCTACTACTTAACATAACAAAGCTAACCATGTTGCTGAGATATAAACCAGTACATCAGAACACAATCACACATGCAAGTGTTAGAGTGACTGTTGACTAATTTTCACTAACATTGAAATCAAATTTTTTTTTTTTTTTTTTTTTTTTTTTTTTTTACTGTATATACTCAAAATTAGATCCATCAGATCCAGAAGAAGATTGATTAGATTTCTTTCCAGAGTCAGCAATGGCCATTAAAGTTTCGCTGATGAACACCAAATCACCAAGCTCTCGGAGAGTGAATCGTGTCATGATCATATCCTTTGGTTCACTTAGAAGACATAGCGGAAAGGCTGGTGCTACATGTGATGCTTTCTTCAGCATCTGCAAGTGAGGCCAATAGAACCAAGCATGATGATTTTGCCCCGGCGACATCCCCCTAGTTCCACCAATCTGCATAACCCATACGTAACATGTCAATTTAGGTCAATGAGTCGGGTTAGAGTTAAATTTCAGGTCGCGTTAAAAAAAAATCTCAAATAGTGTAAAAAGTAAAAACGTGTAAACATTACCTTATCATCATACTTGTATATCCAAGGCTCCTCATCTACAATAAAGATGCCTACAATTTTTTCTGTTATGTCGACTGAAACTGATTTTACATGAAAATTAAAAAAAAAAAACAAGTTATAATTAAATTGATAAACATGATAAACTATATAATTTAAAAAGAATAAGATATTAACAAGAACCTAATCTATTCGTCACTGATTCGAGTCGATCAACCATCTCCCTCAACGAGTCAGATGGAATTATAGCCTCACGGAAGAATATGATGTTAGGAAATCTCTCAAATCCAGTAAACATTGGCAACAATTCCACTTTAAACTCTTTAACTGGATCATTTCCTGTAATTAATTGTTAAAACTAAAATTAACACCATAATATGTACAAACTCAATATTATCTAATTCTTAAACATGAGTATTCAATGAAAGATTGGTTTTTTAAATATTTTTTTTCATTTTCATTAAAATAACATCCAAATAGAATTCAATGACAATGTGAATATTGTTGTAAAAAAAAAAAAAAAAAAAAAAAAAAAAAAAGCAGAAAATCCATGAAAACAAAACTCTATTAATGATAATAACAATATCAAGAAAGAATTATGAAAACAAAAGACCAATTAAAACAACTCAGAATAAAAACAGAGAGAAAGAAGAACATGGATAATTACTATGATAAATTACAATGCAATTTACAAGAAGATAATTAATTTATACAAATTGCACTACATTAACTAAAAAATAAAATTTTAAGTATTAGAAATTTACCAAGATTGATGTTGAGATTATCTGACCCATCAATATGAAAAATGGTAATCGAGTCATCATTAATATTATCAGCATCAGTAATACAATGACTGCTAAATTGGAAGTCCTGCAATGCAGTAGAATTGAGGCAGAGATAACCAGCAGCTTTAGTTTTCGAGTTTCGAACCGTGATCTCAACCCTCTTTTCGGTTACTTCAAGCACTCCATATCCTTTGGGATTGAATTCCGGGTCACAAAGAGCATCAATTGCTAGTTTAAACTTGTTTAATGGGGTTATTTTGAAGTTAAAGAGTTTTTTTGGGGTTTCTTTTGAAGGTTTTGCCATGGTTGTAAGTCGAAAACAGGGGAAACAGAGAGAGGTTAATAAGATTAAGCAGAATAAAAAAAGATAATCAACCTAATAAAAAAGATTAACAAGAAATTGGTTATTATAATGGCAATCAGCAAAAGTTTGTTACGGCTGTTGACTCAATTGGACTTGTAAATTCTAATGGGCTGGACCATATATCCAAAACTTGACCGGTTTTCGAGACCCCCATTGAGTATGTGTCGTGTTAACTTAAGACCTTGTAAATAATTTACTTCATAATATTATTTTAAAATTTTTTGTGTATGTACTCTAAATAATATGAGTATGGAATATTATTTTTTTCAAAGTAAGTATAAGTAATGGCTTAAATAATAATTAACAAAGACTTAAATAGTCTTTCATGAAAAGAAAAAAAACCAAGACTTATATGAATTGGTTTAAAATCCAATATCAAGTTGGAAACTTTTACAAGATTATACAGGGGAAATTAAAGGAGAAGGAGAGGATACAAACAATTCACACAAAACAATGTAGATATAGGTCACTTTGTTACAGGTTTTAAGTACCAAAAGAATTTTCAGAAGTTGATGTGTATGACCCAAAAAAAGTGTATAACAGATTGTGTTTAACAAATACTTCGATTGTTAAAAAAAATAAAAAAAAATAAAAAATAAAAAACTAATACTTCGTGCATTTGATTTAATTTAATGATAATATATTTAAATAATACGTAGTATAAGTTTTTTGAAAAATAGCTTTATTTTAGTTTTAAAATTCAGATTAGTTCATTAAGATAAGCTTAGTGAAAATCAAGAAAATATACTGCCTATATTTATCACAATAATAACACTTTGGCCAATGATGTCATTTTATCATAAAAATTTCAGGACAATTATCCGAATTGGTATAGATAATGCACCCCTTGTACTTGCCACATAAGTTTACAACTGATGTTACTTTTTTTTTGTTTGGCAAAAAACTTGAAGATGACCATCAACCATAGCAAATTGATAATTTACTTCAACAACATGCATAATTGATACATAATAACAAATTACTATACTTCTAAATTTCTAATCAATGAATGCTAAAACTTCAGCCATTTCTTTTCTTTCTCTTTGCTAACAACTGCATTTGAAGTCGATGCGTGCTTAGCCTCGGCTTCTGACAAAGCTTTCTGAGTCTCTGTCAGTTTCCTCATTGCTGCCTCGTACACAGCCTTCTCCTTCCTATTACGGTTTGCCATCTCCTCCAACTTTTCCACTCGATTCCTCAACTCCTTCACCTCCTCTTCATAAGCAATCATTGAACGTCTATCTTCTTTCTTAACCTCTTTGCTCTTTTTCTTCATCACTGAACTTTCATTATTAATCATCCGCCCATGCGTTGCAAGGTGACTGTTGATTAGACTGAAGACATCAGGCCTCTGCTCCTCTTGCTTAGCAGCCCGCGCTGCTTCTGCAAAATTTTTTTCACGTTTCCTCTTCCCACCCCTGCTTTGTTTTTTATTCTTTTCTGGATGCTCATCTCTCTCCTCGTTCTTAACAGATTGCATAGCATGATCAAGGGATTGTTTTGCTGGGAGAACTTTCACGGGTATTGGGTTCACCATGCCCTGGCCTGCTAGTCCTAGACCCATTCCTTCACGGAAGCCCATATTAGCCATCATTTTGGAAGCTATACCCCGAGTGTGATTCTCCCACTTGGCAAAGATGGCGGTGTCTGTTTGAATCCCCTTCTGCAAGGCAGTGCTTTTAACAAAGCCTAAACCTTGTGGAAAACCATCGTCTACATCTTCATAATCACTTGAACCTGAGTTCTCAGAATCTGAATTATCAGTCTCCCTATCTTCTTCATCATTGCTGGCTTCTGCATGCTGTGATAATGCCATTGCTTCAGCCCCCAGCGTCTCTGAGCTTCCATCATCACGAAATACAATCTGGCCTTGATTGAGTTTGTCATCCCAAGACTCAAGTTCAGCTTCTCTCCAAATGCTAGCTCCACTCCTAGAAACTGCAAAAATACTAGCTCCTACCAATGGCTGCCCCCAGCAAGGTGACACATACTTCTTCAGGGATGACAGCGACATAAGTGTTCCTGATGCAGAACACAACACAATACCCTATGTAAGAGAGCAGTAGGAAATTCGAAAGTCACAGACAGCATAAACTAAGGAATTTTGAGCTGCATATTGTAAAATCTTCAGGTACAAAATCTAGAAACAGATGCAGAAAATGTTATAACCAAAAAGATCAGTTAACCTGGACAATCTAGACTGGTCAAGTAGACAAAACAAGTTAGGCCACCGCATTATTATTTGCTTAGATTGATTGATGACAAAACCTCTATAACTACCCAAACAAATTAGACCACAAACGCTATGCCCATTTGTACCTACTATACCCAACACAACAGCAGTCTCCAAAGTCTACCTTATTCACAATTCACAAACATACCATGTGATAACCGGCAGTTAGCACCAAATCGACACCGTTGTTGAAGGAAGAACTTGCACATCTGCACTTAGTGGTCTACCATCAGTACAAAAAGAAGACAATAATAAAAGGATTTTTTTTTTTTTTTCATCCTCTACATCTCAGAGCGCCAAGGATTTTCAAGTAGAAGAGTAATGAAGAAAAAAATGAGCACTCGTACTAGCAATTGCAGTTACACATACAATTTATACAGTGTGGATGACTGGATGTTATCATTAACGTCTTTTGGTTTTAAAGTTATTCAAATCTAGATTGTATGCATGGAATACTAAAGCAGTATCCTTCAATTCTAAACCCACTTGTTAAAATACTTCAGCTTTATTGGGAGTTCAGCGGGTAAGAAAACATAAATTCAGACTAAAATCCCATTTTATCCAGCAAGATAACAGAAGAATTGAGATCCTTACAATAATCCCTTCCATAAGGACAAAACAAACAATACCCAATATAGTTGAGGACGGAAAGAAAAAACCAAAACTGCTCAAAACCTTAAAGGATTTTTTTAAAAAAATTTATTCAGAAATAACCCTCTATATTTGAACTTTGAAGTATTTGAACAAGAAGAAGACACAATATAGCTATACAATATTGAGCCATTACTTCCGGTACCATGGCTCCAACTCCATTATACCACCAATTCTGACCTTTTTTACCTCAGGCGTAAAAATTTTGCTAAACTTGAAGAAAAATACTACTTCAGGTTTTAAACTTTTCGTTTCCCTTTGTTATAGGCTGATTTTCTGATTGTAAGTATTGTATGAATTCTAAGGATTAATAAAGATGAAGGGTTGATAATTTGATTGATAATGGCTGAAAGCTTACAAAGGTAGTAGGTTTAGCCTACAACTCTCCTATTAGCAACTTGAGGTTGCCACTCTCTATTTCCAATAACCCAATTCATGCCTACTACTAGACTACTACCTTCTTATATATACACAAGCCAAAAGCTATAACATTAACCTAGCATTAATGACCCTTTGTCTTCTACTGCTGCAAATAAAATCAGAGAGCAGAGACCCAACACTCTTCCCCTTAGCGACTCTTTAACTAATTTTGTCTTCTAGTGTTGCTCCTTGTACTGGTCCATTACACCCTTCGCAGAAGTTAAGAACAATAAGATACGGGCCATGGAATGAAGCACCTCCAACCAGAATTGTTATTAATTGGGACAAGAAAGTTCAAGAGAGCAAGTAGCAAACAAGCAAAGACCAAAAAAGTGTTGAGTAATCTAAATGATCTTGAAGGGAAAAAAAAAATAATAGCAGGGTCCATCTTCAGATAACAAAGAGCTCACCATCATTTTTTCTGACGTTGGATTGAGGAAAGAAACTCTGGCAGAAGAGCCATCCAACTCCACGATTTGACCATTATACCAACGCCCATCAGTGTGGCGGAATCTACATTTAGATCCAACAAAATAACTTGGCTCCTCCAAAGTTTCAACTTCAACATTAGAAGAATGTAATGGTTCTGCCTCTACATCTTCACTTGGAAGCTTGGAAGTATCCAGTTCTGCAGGCTTAATATGCTCAACCTCAGCATCTTTATTTGAACATTCATATCCCTGCGTAGCAAAATCAACTTCACGTAACAACCGTGCACGTTTAAGGTGAAAAAGTCCTTCCTCTGCATCTTTAATGGCAGAAACAAGTTCGTCTTGGACCTGCATCACGATTCAGCATTCAAAATCCAGTTATTCGTGAACCAGCCTAATGACCATATAGAGTTTTATACTTTTTGTATAAGACTCGATAATGAGTTTAAAAAATAATAATAATAATAATAATAATAATAATAATAATAATAATAATAATAATAAATAAAGAAAAAGACATTGGCATGATGAATAACACATGAATTTGACATTCCCATATCTTTCCAATATCTATCAGACGGCCAGACCAACTGCTATCATGATAAATGCAATTGAAAAACAGAGAATCCTATGGGGAAACACTGCGGATTTGTAACAAGTACCAATACACAGCCAAAAGATCGCTTGATATTAGTCCTGAACTCCTAATGGTTTATTTTCTAAAGCACACGACAGCTGCTGTCTTTCACCCTCTCAAGTCTTTAACTTCTGCCATGACACACATACTTGATGGTGAATTGGTGAGTGGTGATTGTTGTTTACTTAATTTTTCTCTTACAACTCTTATATCAACCCGAGCCTAATAAGATTCAATGGTGAATTGGTGACCGACAAATGTTGTTTTCTTAATATCTCTTACAATTCTTATATCAACCCCGACTTCCCGAGCCTAATAAGATTCGATGGTGGAATTGGTGACTGGCAAATGTTGTTTTCTTAATTTCTTGGCAAATGTTGTTTTCTTAATTTCTCTTACAACTCTTATATCAACCCAAGCCTAATAAGATTCCATCGTAAAGCAAATCCCAAAAAAATACACAAAATTCTACCAATAAAAAGTTCGATGCCGATTCATAATCAGCAACACGGCATAAGAAACACAACTTGAGCACAGGCAAGCTAGTGGTATCCACAAAAACCATATTAGTATTGCATAATAAACATAATTTATCGATTTCAAAAAAAAAATAAACATAATTTATCACCCAAAACACAAAAACCATTCCATAAGCCAAAAAAGGGTAAATTTTGCAAACACATTGTTCTACATTAATCATAAATAATCAATTCTCCCATTTGATCGATAATCCCTTAAAAAGCTAAATTGTAGCGTCAACGATGCGATTAAACTTAATAAAATGCATTAAATTAAACCTAATTGATGAAATTAGAGCTAAAATTCAATCATATAAAAATCCTCTGAAAAAAAAAACCCTAAAATTACAAAATGGTAATTAAAATGAAGGACGTAGAAAAGAATTACACTGAGAAGCTCGGAATTTTGGGAATCGAAGATTAGAGCATCTTGAATAGCAGAGAGAGAATCCTTTTGTTCGTGCAATTGAAGCTCTAATTGAGTTTCTAGGAGTCTCTCTTCTTCGTTCGCCATTTTCAGAGCTTCGCGAACTACGACTGCTAAATTCTGATGAGACCCAACTAACGTTGGTTTTTGTTGTTCAAATCTTATTTAAGTCTTAAAAAAAAAATTAAAAAAAAAATGTTAGAAAATATATTCTATGTGGATGTTCATTATCATTTGTAACTCCCTAGTATTATGCCACCCATTGTAACCCCCATATGTAATTACCTCTATTGTAACCCCGCTTAAATGGAATCTTAATTTCCATGAAGGTTACATACTTACATTTTGTATATATATATAGCATGGACAAATCAAAGGATAGACAATACAATTACCATCTACATCTCTCTCTAATCTTCTCCCTTTTCCCCTTATTTTATAATACATTATCAGCACCATTGCTTTAGTTATCGGTAATCGGAGAAAACATTAATCAAACAATATAACAAGGAGGATCATATTGTTGGCTTGTTGCATCAACCTCAATTAACCGAGTTACTGACGAAATATACACTACTTCGTACACATTATTTTTTTTTCCCGTTGACTGAGGTAAGCTTCACTTTGTATTGATTAAGCTATTTTGTTCTAATAGCTTATTTGGTATGATTACAATTTGCTACTATTTTATCAAGGATAAATATTGCATGAGTTGGTTACAATTATCATTATTTTATCATGCGTTGATTACAATCATGAAATTTTGGTTTTTTTTTGTTTTGTTGTGCTAAATTACATCTTTTATTTGTTAATTATTTGGTATCACATGGGTTGAGATTTACTACCATATATTACGGTTAATTGTTTCGTTTATTGTTTTAATTTATTAATTTATTACCATGGTTCTTTTATTTTGTGTATTACGGTTTGCGACATACTTTGTTACGACATATCAATATATTTTTATAATAGTTGAGATTTTTGATGCATAAAACTTAGATGTAGTATGTATGTCTTTGATCATATGTATATAATATTAAAGATATTAGAAAAATACTTTTTGATATGATCTGCTTAATTATAGCCAACGTATAATCCTCTTGATACTTTATTACTTTTGACTTTTGAATTTATTTTGCTTATAATTTTATTTTATTTGCATATTAGTAAATAGTTTGAGTGAGCATGAAATATTTAAATTTCAATTATACGAGTATTATGATTCATTAACTTGTCAGGTCATAGAATATGCTATATGACTATCTTATTCTTGCATATATGTCATTTACTGTGTGAATGTTGATAGAATCTATTTATACCAAACAACTATGAAGTTTATATATATATATATATATATATATATATATATATATATATATATATATATATATATATATTTATAAGCTCTAATTTTGAATATTATTTTATATAGTGAAAATGTCAAACCTTGTCAAACTTGAATTCGTGGCCCTTGATATCACTGGAAAGAACTATTTATCATGGGTGTTAGATGCTGAAATACACCTAGATGCTAAAGGCCTTGGTGAAACCATTAAGGAGGGTAATAAAGCAACACTCCAAGATAAGGCAAAGGCCATGATATTCCTTCGCCATCACCTCCATGAAGGACTCAAAAATGAATATTTAACTGTGAAAGACCCACAAATCCTTTGGAGTAATCTAAAGGAAAGGTATGACCACCAAAAAACGGTGATACTAACTAGAGCTCGTTATGATTGGTTGAATTTGAGATTGCAAGATTTTAAATCTGTTAGTGAATATAACTTAGCTATGGTTAAAATCACTTCTAAGTTGCAATTATGTGGAGAAAATATTACTGATTCAGAAATGCTTGAAAAGACATACTCCACTTTCCATGCAAATAATATTGTCCTGCAGACACAATATAGAGAAAAAGGTTTTAAAAAATATTCTGAATTAATATCTTGTCTTCTTGTGGCTGAGCAAAATAACGAGCTTTAATGAAAAATCATGAATCACGTCCTACTGGCTCTACTCCATTCCCTGAAGCGAATGTGACAACCCATAACGGGAAAGAAACTAAAAACAGAAACCATTCCAACAGTAGTGGTCGAGGTAGAGGTCGTGGTCGCAGTCGTGGCCAATGGCGTGGTCGCGGTCGTGGGCGTGGTTTTAGTGGATATGGTAGAGGTCGTGAAGGTCATTACCCAAATTCACATTCCCACCAGAAGTGGGAACGTAGGGATGATAAAGAGAAAAGTGAGACCAATATATGTTACCGTTGTGGAGGAAAAGGCCATTGGTCTCGGGTTTGTAGAACTCCAAAGCATCTTGTTGAACTTTATCAAGAATCATTGAAGAGAGGAAAGAAAGTGGAGGCAAACCTTGTTCTTGAAGATGGTGAAGGTGATTTTGATTTTGGCAATGCAAATCATTTTGATGTTGCTGATTTCCTTACTTCCCCAGAAGGGAATAATTTTGATTTTGGCAGTACAACTCATTTAGAAGTTGGTGATTTCTTCAATGCCCCGGAAGGGAATAATTAAATTTATATTATTTTGTGTCAACTTTAAGTATTAGACTTTATCTAGTTATTTACTTATTTTAATTTCTATGGTTGTAATAAGGACTTTTGCTTTATGAATTTATGAACTATTTGGGTGTTTTTATTGATTTATTTATTTATCATCTTTATTTTTATGCTTAACATTTTGACATATATTTTATTTCATGAAGAACATGGATATTACTCAAGTTCAGTTTGCTATGAATGGTGAAGAATTATGTCTTGCTGACAGTGCAACTACTCATACAATACTTAGAAATAAAAAATATTTCTCTAATTTGATGATGAAAAGGATTAATGTGAGTACCATATCGGGTAGTACAAATATCATTGAGGGCTCCGGAAGAGCCACTATAAAACTGCCTTGGGGAACTGAAATTAAAATAATTGATGCTTTATACTCCCCATTGTCTCAAAGAAATTTATTAAGTTTTAAGGATATTCGCAACAATGGTTATCATATTGAGACAATCAATGAAGAAAATAACGAATTCCTTCAAATCACAAATATAACTCAAGGCACAAAACATGTTTTGGAGAAACTCCCTACATTCTCCAGTGGTTTGTACTACACAAAAATCAATACTATTGAAACTCATGCTATAGTAAACCAGAAGTTTACTGATAATTTTGTTGTTTGGCATGACCGGTTAGGCCATCCCGGTTCAATAATGATGCGAAAAATAATTACGAATCCATGTGGACATTCTTTGAAGAGCCAGCAGATTCTTCATAATAATTTTTCATGTGCTGCTTGCTCAGAAGGCAAGTTGATAATTCGCCCATCACCAGCTAAAATTAATTTTGAATCAATTAGTTTTCTGAAACGTATACAAGGAGATATTTGTGGGCCCATACATCCCCCATGTGGACCATTTAGATATTTTATGGTTTTAATTGATGCATCAACTAGATGGTCACATGTGTCTTTGTTATCAACTCGTAACCTGGCGTTTGCGAGATTACTTGCCCAATTGATTAAGTTACGGGCACATTTTCCAGATACTCCCATTAAGACTATTCGACTTGATAATGCTGGTGAATTTACATCTCAAGCTTTCAATGATTATTGCATGTCCATTGGGATAAATGTTGAACATCCTGTAGCTCATGTTCATACACAAAACGGTTTGGCAGAGTCATTAATTAAACGTATTCAGTTAATTGCTAGACCATTGCTTATGAAATCCAATCTCCCAATTTCTGCTTGGGGACATGCTATATTACATGCAGCAGCACTAATTCGCATTAGAGCAACAAGTTATCACAAGTTCTCCCCATTACAATTGGTTTATGGTCAGGAACCAAATATTTCCCATCTAAGAATTTTTGGATGTGCGGTTTATGTTCCAATAGCTCCACCACAACGCTCTAAGATGGGTCCTCAAAGGAGGATGGGAATATATGTTGGGTTTGAATCCCCGTCAATAATTAAATATCTTGAGCCTACAACAGGGGATTTATTTACGGCTCGTTTTGCAGATTGTCATTTTAACGAGTCACTTTTCCCAACATTAGGGGGAGAAAAGAGAGAGCTGGAAAAAGGAATCAAATGGAATGAATTATCGTTATCTTATCTTGATCCTCGAACTAAACAATGTGAACTGGAAGTTCAAAAGATAATTCATTTACAAAGTTTAGCAAATCAATTTCCAGACTCGTTTGCTGACCCAAAAAGAGTGACCAAGTCACATATTCCAGCTGTAAATGCTCCATTTAAAATAGATGTCCCGAAAGGACAAAATAAATTTTCTAATGAGTCTAAACCACGTCAGAAACGTGGAAGACCAATAGGTTCCAAAGATAAGAATCCTCGGAAAAGAAAAGGAGCATTGATTGATGATGGTCAAATTGAAGAAACAATTTCCGAAGGATCTCCATAAGAGAATTTAGACATGATACAAGAAGAAATTCAGGTACCTGATAATGAAGAAATTTCAACAAATTATATCATGTCTGGAATTACATGGAACCGAAATCAAATCGACGTCGATGATGTTTTTGCATGCAATGTAGCATTAGATGTTATGGATAATAATGAGGATCATGAACCAAAAACCATTGAAGAATGTAGACAAAGAAATGATTGGCCAAAATGGAAAGAAGCAATTGAATCAGAATTAAAATCTCTTGGAAAAAGAGAAGTATTCGGACCTGTAGTCCGTACACCTAAAGGTGTAAAACCAGTGGGATATAAATGGGTTTTTGTGCGAAAGAGAAATGAAAAGGGTGAAGTTGTAAGATATAAGGCACGCTTAGTTGCACAAGGATTCTCACAAAGACCTGGTATTGATTATGAGGAGACATATTCTCCTGTGGTGGATGTAACTACTTTTAGATTTTTGATTAGTCTGGAAATAAGTGAAGGACTTGACTTACGTTTGATGGATGTAGTCACAACTTATTTATACGACCCACTGGATAATGACATTTACATGAAGCTCCCAGAAGGATTCAAGCTGCCAGAAGCAGCAAAATCTAGTTCTCGAGAACATTTCTGTATTAAATTGAACAAATCTCTTTATGGATTGAAACAATCTGGGCGTATGTGGTATAACCGTCTAAGTGAGTATTTGTCAAAGGAAGGTTATAAGAATGATCCTATCTGCCCACGTATTTTTGTAAAGAAATTTGGATCGGGATTTGTTATAATTGCAGTGTATGTTGATGATTTGAATATCATTGGAACTCCTGAAGAGATTTCAGTGACTGTCAATTATTTAAAGAAAGAATTCGAAATGAAAGATCTTGGAAAGACAAAATTTTGCTTAGGGTAACAAATAGAGCACCTAGAGAATGGAATCCTTGTGCATCAATCAACGTACATAGAAAAGGTTCTTAAAAGATTTTCTATGGATACAACACATCCATTGAGCAGTCCTATGGTTGTAAGATCACTTGAAGTAGAGAAAGATCCATTCCGACCTCGGGAAAATGATGAAGAAATTTTGGGTCCTAAAGTACCATATCTTAGTGCAATTGGAGCACTAATGTACCTTGCAAGTCATACACGACCCGACATATCATTTTCAGTTAATTTATTAGCAAGGTTTAGTTCATGTCCAACCCGGAGGCATTGGAATGGGATTAAACATTTACTTCGTTATCTTCAAGGTACGAAGGATATGGGTTTATTTTTCCCAAAGTTGTCCAAAGAAAATTTGATTGGTTTTTCAGATGCAGGTTATTTATCTGATCCTCATAATGGTCGATCACAAACTGGATATGTGTTCACATATGGTGGTACTGCCATTTCTTGGCGTTCTATGAAACAAACCATTGCAGCTACGTCTTCCAATCATTCTGAGATTTTAGCAATTCACGAGGCTAGTCGTGAATGTGTACGGTTAAGGTCGGTAGTTCAACATATAAAAGAAGTTTGTGGTTTATCATCTGGGAAAGAGGCACCGACAACTTTATACGAGGATAATGCAGCTTGTATTGCTCAACTTAAGGAAGGATACATCAAAGGTGACAGAACAAAGCACATCTTACCCAAATTTTTCTTCACTCATGATCTTCAGAAGAATGGAGATATAAATGTTTTGCAGATTCGTTCAAGTGAGAATTTAGCAGACCTATTCACTAAGGCTCTTCCAACCGCAACCTTTAAAAAGTTAGTTTATCGTATTGGATTGCGTCGTCTCAAAGATCTTCAGTGATATAATAATGAGGGGCAGTAATTGCGCGCTGCACTCTTTTTCCCTTATCCATGGTTTTTTTTCCCACTGGGTTTTTCCTGGAAAGGTTTTTAATGAGGCAGCATATATGCGCATTAAATATATTTTAGATAATGCCCATCCAGGGGGAGTGTTACAAAATATATTCTATGCGGATGTTCATTATCATTTGTAACTCCCTAGTATTATGCCACCCATTGTAACCCCCATATGTAATTACCTCTATTGTAACCCCCGCTTAAATGGAATCTTAATTTCCATGAAGGTTACATACTTACATTATGTATATATATATATAGCATGGACAAATAAAAGGATAGACAATACAATTACCATCTACATCTCTCTCTAATCTTCTCCCTTTTCCCCTTATTTTATAATAAAAAAAAACCTTTTAAAAGCTTTTGGCAAAAGGAAACCTGGATTTTAACATTTTACCAAAAGGAAACCCGGTGATTAAGGGCTTGTTTGACACCATTTTTTGTTTTATGTTTCTTTTTAAAAAAAAAACTAAAAGCCAAAAAACAAGAAACAAGAAAAAGGTGTTTTCACTTTTTAGTTGTCAGTTTTCAAAATTATTACTTCCTCTGTTCTTTTTTACTTGACTTGTTTCTTTTATCACGCTTGTCAATGCAAAACTTTAACGGTCAATAAATTTAATTCTACATAATTAAAAAATATAAAAGTTATATATTATGATAGTACTTATTGAGACGAATTCAAAATGATCCAACATGAATATGTTTTTCTTTACA